TTCAAAAAGCCCCAAAGCGCAAATGGGTCAGCTATATCTGGGACACCTTCGACAAGTCGCCTGAGGAGCGACGACTTCTATTCAAGCTTGACACGGCTATCTTAACCTTTGCATCTCTGGGTGGGCTTCCCACAACATATCCCACCAAGTATCACCTACAGTTCTAACTGAACCTCTTGGTTCTCAGGCTACTTCATCAAATACCTCGACCAAGTGAACATCAACAATGCCTTCGTCTCCGGGATGTTCGTACACAGCCCTAAACACCCACATCCCTACTCCAACACCGACTAACTCTCACCAGGAAAGAAGACCTCGGGCTATACGGCAACCAACTGAACTACATGCAAGCCTGCTGGACCGTCGGCTATGTCATTGGCGAAATCCCGAGTAACATGCTGCTCACGCGGGTGCGCCCTCGCTACTGGATTCCGGCCATGGAGGTTAGTCCTGCCATACCCTCAATTCATCTTCCATCCCAGCACTAACGAAACACCAGCTCCTTTGGACAGTCCTAACCTTCACACTCTCCCGAGCCAGAACTCCAACACACTTCTACGTCCTGCGCTTCTTCATCGGTACTCTCCCCTTCCCCCACTTTACCCCAGCGCACCCGCATCCGATCTAACTCGAGATAACGGGACGACAGGCCTCGCCGAAAGCTCCTTCTACCCGGGAATGCAATATATAATCGGATGCTGGTACCGCAAGGACGAGCTCGCCAAGCGATCGTGCATCTTCCACACGAGCAGCGGGATCGGCAGTATGTTCTCGGGGTACCTGATGGCCGGGGTGTACCGGCTGGGCGGGAGGGGTGGGTTCAAGGGGTGGCAGTGGTACATCCCCGAATGAACCCCTGCTACAGCTGCTACAGCATGTTGAGCAGAGTTGGAAAAGTGTAACTCACCTGTGTCATAGGTTGTTCCTCGTCGACGGGATCGTCTCCCTCCCCGTCGCGCTGAGCGGGTTCTTCGTCCTGCCGGACGTGCCGGAGATTTCGGAGCCGTGGTATTTGTCCCGCGAGGTGAGTCGCTTCCTCAGATTCCGGTACACTACAGTACGTTGCACGACGGACCTGATAATTGATGCTGCTGGGTAGGAGGTGAAACTCGCGCAGAGACGGATGCAGCTCGAAGGCCGCCAGAACCGGCAGCCGTACACCAAGGCCAAGCTGAAGAAGATCTTCGGCTCGTGGCATATCTACATGCTGACGCTGGTTTACATGTAAGCCTTACAGCCCGAATCGATCATTGAGGACAGCGGGTGATAATCTGTGAGGACAGCACGTTCAACAACGGGGCAGCGGGCGCGCAGCCGGTGTTCCAGCAGTACGTATCCCCGCCCCTTGCGTCACTACCCAGCGAGGCGAAAGACATTCCTGATGAGAGACAGATTCCTCAAAGCCTCAACCCACCCCAAGTACACGATCGACCAGATCAACGCCTACCCGACGCTCACCTCGGCCGTGCAGGTGGTTACCACCCTGATCTACGCGTGTAGGTCTTCAGCCCCAGCTACCGGACCAGAACAAAGAGCGTACTAAAGGGATGCGCAGGGACATCTGATACGATCCTGCGAGGCAAACGCTGGCCGTGGATTATCTTCGGCGGAGTACGACCCCCAGCACCCCACACACCCCCAAGAAGGAAGCTAACCCCCCGAAGTGCATAAATATAACCTGCTACGTCTCCCTCGCGATCTGGGATATTCCCATAGGCTGGAAATGGACCTGCTATATCCTGTCCGGCGCGGGGTTCGGATTGAGTGGGTTGTGCATGGCGTACGTTTTTGCTTGCCCGTTGCACTTGTCCCCTTTCTGCTGCTTATTCTCCTCCCCATCACCTCTCCCTCGCACGAGGGGGTGGGGGGTTGGGGGGGGGTTGAGAATTCCTTTGCGGGTTCTGGATAAGACAAGCTAACAAAAGGGCTAGCTGGGCCCACGAGATCTGCACGGCCGACAACGAGGAACGCGCCCTCGTGGTCGGGAGCATGAACGAGATGGCCTACGTCTTCCAGGCGTGGCTGCCGCTCGTCGTGTGGCAGCAGGTTGATGCGCCGCGGTACCGGAGCGGGTTCGTGGCGGCCACGGTTATCTCGGGGCTGTTGATTGTGGTGACGGCGGGGACGGCGTGGTTGCAGGGGTGGGAGGAGAGGTGAGTTTGCTTCGCCTTTGAGGGTGACAAGGGTGGGATGGGGTAAGGGTTCATGCTGATTTCGCTTGTCTGGTAGGGCGAAACGTGTGGTTGGGAGTTTGGAGGGGGAGGAGGGGAGTAGGGCTCGTTTGAGGGGGGATGGGTCTTTGGATGGGGAGGGGCGTGAGGATCTGGGTGGGGAGCTTGAGCGGGAGGGGGTTGTTGTGAAGGATTAAGAGGTAATACCTGGGCTGGAGGGGTGGTGGTTTGGGTATGTTGTATGTTGTTGGGAGTGGGTGTGCTACGTTGGTGGCGGAAAGATCCGTTAAACTCATGTTTTCCGGATGTTTGCTTTGGACGCCGGATATACACAACATGAGAATAAAGACAAGCTACAGGATCAATGCTCAAGGTATAAACTCTTCAGCTGGCAGAATAGTCTGATTCAAGCTGCCTGGTTGTTGTACTGTACATAATCCTCCATCGAGATAGTTCCCGGAGCCCAAATCGCATGCGCACACCGGCCCACAGCTTGGGCTCAACTGAACCCTTCCTCCACATGTTTTTCTCGATTATTCGAAGAACGACGTTTCTAGAGACGTATCACAGCCTTAACATCAACAGTCGAAGGAGTGTATCTGCAGCCCGAGAAACATCTCCCAGCAGTACAAGCTTAGAAAGAGCCGGAAGTACCCGTGGGGGCCGCACCGGAAGGAGCGCCCGAGGGCTCAGCACCGGCACCACCGAAAGAGCCAGAAGGAGACGGGCCCTGACCGCCGAAAGAACCGGAGGGAGAGGGACCTTGGCTACCAACGGAGCCGGAAGGAGAAGCGCCACCGGGGAAACCAGACGGAGAAGCACCCTGACCTCCGAAGCCAGAAGAGCCACCGCTGGCAAAGCCAGAGGGAGAAGCGCCCTGGCCACCAAAGGAACCAGAGGGGAAAGAGCCACCAACGGTGCCGGATGGAGAGGGGCCCTCGGAAGAGCTGCCGCTAGAGCTGGAAGAGCCACCCTCGTGGCCCTGTCCGCCATGTCCGCCCTCGTGGGAGGATCCCTTGGAGGAGGAACCCTGGTTCTGCTCGAACTGGCGGCGCTCGACCTTCTGCTCGGATTCAGAGGAAGTGTTATCCGAGGACTGGCCTTGCTCGTGGCTGCTGTGGCCGCTGTGGCCGCCGTGGTGGCCGTGACCCTGCTGAGGGGAGCCGGAGGGAGAAGCACCCTCGGGGAGACCGGAGGGGGAGGCACCTCCAGGGAAGCCGGAGGGAGAAGCACCACCGGGGAAGCCGGAGGGAGAAGCACCACCGGGGAAGCCGGACGGAGAGGCACCACCAGGGAAGCCAGACGGAGAAGCGCCACCCTGCCCACCAAAGCCGCCAGAGGGAGAGGGGCCATTGGGGGATCCGGAGGGAACAGTGCCTCCGAACGAGCCGGAAGGAGAAGCACCGCCGAAGCCACCAGAAGGAGCAGCGGTAGGCGCAGAGCCACCCTCAGTGAAGGAAGCCGGGATCTCGACCTGACGCTTCTGGTGGTCCTCAGGGCCACCGGAAGGAGCAGCACCGGAGACGGTCACAGAGGGGAATGCCTGACCGCCAGCGGGAGCATCTCCAGAATCACCGTGTCCACCATGTTGACCGAAGCCACCAGGGCCACCGGAGGGAGCAGGTCCGGCAGAGCCAGACGGCGGGGGGTTCTGGAAGGCCGCAGTACCGGTGGGCTGAACACCAGTCTGTGTGGGAGCCTGCTCGCCGAAGACGGGCAGGGCGGAGGTGTAGCCCAGGATACAGGCGATGGCAAATGCGGAGAGCTTCATCTTGTGAATTGGGTGTATGGGTGGGAGGGCAAAGTGACGGACAATTAAAAAGGTAAGGAAGTGAAAGGAATGTAGATTGAAGTTGTCTTCGTTGGAAAGGACAGGTACTGGGCGTTCAGATCAACTGAGCTGCTTGATTTTCAACGGTGAATTGGCTGGATTGAGGCGAGGTTTTATAGGTTGACGTTCACTCTCGCCCTCTGTGATACAGGTGTATCCATGCTGACCTCGACACTCGTCATGTTCCTGAGCCGCCGACTTCGGGTGGCAGAACTCTGAGACGTTGACTGTTCGCGATAAATCATCAGGCGATTCTGGACCCAGAGACTCCGACGGTGGATCGATCACGGCTGGCGCTGGACCCCCACTCGACTAATAATGCTGCAGCATGCCAGTGGGCCTGGGTCAGTGCGGGCGAGTCTAATCCCTCGAGACAGGGCTGAGGTTAGAAGGGTTTGGCCCGTGAGCCTTGGAGATATGCAGGAGTTGACGCGGAAAAAGAGAAGGGCAAAAGAAAATGACGAGTGACGGTGGCTGAATCCACGTGTCGTCACGGGACACCCGCTGTTTCATCTTTGCTTTGCACTTTCTATGCTCTTTCTCTTGTGGCTTGTCCTCGAAATCAATGTCATTCTTGACAAGACGTTATTCTGCGTGACTATGAAGTCTTTGCAGGTCCAATACAATGAAACCTCCGACAATCGCTGTGACTCGAGACGGACATGCTTGCCGATGGTTCCTATGATTTCAGATCGTCGGTGGAGAGGATCAACCTCGTCTGATAATCTCTGCCCAATGGTGGTGGGCGGAGGGGGGTGGGATCAACCATCCAGTCAAGTACAGACCACGGCGGTTGCAGCTGTTCCGAATTGATGGGTATGTGATGTCTACACGTACCACCTCAGCGGCAAGCTTAAGCACCTTAGAATTGACTCACCCTAACCCTCGACCTAGTCCTGCAGACTCGAGCTTGTATGCTTGGGCCCCACGTTACTATTTCCAGCAAGGATCGAAGCTAAGGGCCATTGACAATCGCTCAAAGCATGCCAAACCAGCCACGGATCACCAAAGAAAATGTGATTCCATCAAAAAGGAGACTGGGGAAGCTTGCGTCTCAGGATGACAGATGGCAGGAGCCACTGCGGCAAGATGCTGACGTGGGCGAGATCATTCTCTGACCCCTTGGCATGCTCTTCGACACTCCGTACTTCCCGCCACATTGAGTGTGAATCAAGAGCAAGGATAGGGCTTGAGCTCGCAGAAGTTGTCAACAGAAGACCCTTGAGGGCCTTGATCACTCAGGCGGCGCCTAGGTGCAGTCGCCAAGGTGACCCTGGATTTCCCGTGCGAGGACGGGACGGGACATGCTCGGGAAAACCGATGGAATAGGGAAATGGATGTAGGGAGGAGCTTAAGCGAGTGGAACTGCACGGTGTTGTGGTGAAACTTGATTTGATGCGTGGCGGGAGAAGCTGGCGTGGCCCTTTTGCAGATCGGAGGGTCTGCTAATGCTGATTGGTGGTTCCGTCCACGCGGCCTGAGGCTTTCATCGGGATGTTTCACCTTATTTCCCTCCAGCACAAACAGCTTGCAATTGCATAGCATCATAGCATCACTACCGCCAAACTTCACGTCAACTTACTCTGCAAAGTCAAAAAGCACGTCTTCAATCACGACAACAGCCCATGAGAAAGCATCATGCCTGAATGCCGTGGACAGGTCAATTGACTCAATTCTAGGGCTGAGCAGTAGGGGGAACTTGTTGGAACTAGACTGCAGATCTTGGCTTTTGACCCTGGTGCCACCGACCACGACACTAGCCTACATCCCTTGGTTCTGGCCCTTGGGTGCTTCCGCTGACACATCTACCAGTGGTTGTCGCAGTTGCCGCTTGTTCTGACCCGGGATAGGGATAGCTTCAGGGGCGAGTCTACAGACCGTCTCCATTGCTTGGCCCGTTACCCGACCCTAACAACCCGCGATCTGCATCGAATGACACACCTTCATTGAGTACACGGGGAGCTCTACCGACGCATAGGCACTCAATCGAAACTTCTGGTGAAGAGACTAAGCCTACTCCTCAATCGTCACGGAATCGATCATCCCAGTTTCGGTGACGAGCCCACGCAATTTCTTGACTGCAAGACTAACGAACGTCCACGATAGCGCTTCTGCACAGGAACACTTTCGAATGTCAATTGTTGCATTGAATTCATCATCCAAGGTCGGCTCAATTTCGTCCCCAATGTACTATACTATATACATGCCGCCCGCAGTCCTTCTGATTACGTCTGTTGAATACATATCTCGCGTCACATCGTCAAAATTTCCGTTCGCTGTTGAAATGCCCAGAAAAATATCCCTTAACTCCTGCTCACCCCGTGGCCATACCGCTCAAGCCAGAATCACACCTAAGGCTGGCCCCAGATCTCGTCCGCGATCTCACGAACCAAGGCCAGCTTCTTCTTCTCATCCTCGAGGCTCAGCGGGTAGCCGCTCTCGTGGGTGCTGAAGCCACACTGCGGGCTGACGCAGATACGCTTGAGCGCCTCCTCGCGGGACTCGCCGCTGCCGGCACTCACGAAGTCGGCGGCACGGTAGACGCGCTCCTTCATGGCCTCCTTGTCCTCGAGGGCGCGGAGCTTGGTGCTGATGATGCCGACGACGACGTTCTTGTTGGGGGGCAGGAACTGCAGGGGCTCGAAGCCGCCGGAGCGCTCGTTGTCGTACTCGAGGTAGAAGGTGTGGACGTTGAGGTCCTGGAAGAGCTTCTGGGCGATGATGTCGTACGAGCCCTCAGCGAAGTGGCGGCCGCCGATGAAGTTGCCGCGGCACAGGTGGATGCCCGTGTGGAAGTCGGCGGGCAGGTCGCGGAGGCAGTCGTTGTACAGCTGGATGTAGGCGTCCAGCAGGTCCTCGACGGTGCCGAGGTTGTCCGCGTCCGCTTCCCAGCCCTCGCGGAACGCGGTCGAGCAGAAGTACGCCATCCCGGGGTCGTCGAACTGCACGTTGCGCAGCCCCGCCGCGTACAGCGCCGCCAGCTCCGCCCGGTACACCTTGGCCACGTCGCGGAAGTACTCGGCGTCGGTGGCGTACGCCTCCCGGCTGTAGGCCTTGCCCTGCTTGTAGCGCATGTGGAACCAGGCCGGCGTGATCATCGTCAGCTTGATGGTGCCCCACTCGCTCTCGGGCAGGGCCTGCTGCACCAGCCGCAGCTCGTGCAGGTTGGACCTGGACTTCTCCGCGCTCCACGACAGCTTGGACCCCGCGATCACCGAGTCGCCCGGCATCACCTTGCGGTCCTTCTCGATCAGGCTGACCACGTCCGGGTGGTACAGCCGGAACATCGAGGCCTCGGCGTCCTGCAGACGGACGGTTCCTGCAGCGTCACGTCAGCCATCGTTCGCTTCCTATGTCCTCCTGATGCAGTGACTGTTAGGGAGAAAGGTCATACCCTCAAACTCATCCCACATCTGCCCCCAGAACCGCGTCCGGTTGAACTCGCCCGAGGTGACAGCCTGGTAGCCCAAGTCCCGCTGCAGCTGGACCACGTCGCCGACCGTCTGCTTCTCGACCGCGTGCAAGCCCGCCTCCTCCTCGGACACGCCCGTCTCGCGGATCTTCTCGCGCACCTCCAGCAGGTTCTGGGGCCGGAGCAGGGAACCCATGTGTTCGGCCCGGAAGGGCGGGGCACTGTGCAGTTGGAAGGACATTGTGACTCGGGTGTGGCTCGGTTAGACCTCTCTCAAGCTCTGTATCACCAAGAAAGTGAGAAAAGCGGAATCAGGGGGAAAGCTGACAAGAAATAGAAATAGGAAAACTGAGAATAGGGGAGAAAAGATGGGGAATCCCTGCTAGCCCTCGAGGCCCCGCATTGGTTTTTTTTTTGTTTTTGCCATGCTCCCATTTGCCATGCGGGACCGGCTGTTGGCTGACGGTGGCGATCAACGTTGACCTTGCGTCTCGTCCGAGCGCGTTTCTTACACGTTTACACTTTTGTCAGCAGTTTGGGGCTTCGATGCAAGCTTTGCGGAGTTCTGTCTGGGGCCCCGCGCGTTTCTTGTCCCAATTGTCTTGCAATTACTAATGCCCAGAGCAGGATGGCCACGGGCGATGAAGCTGGATTTGATTTACATACAGTACAACTTGTGCATGTGGGGAGGGGTGGGGTCGGATATGTGGGAGGTGGGGCCAGATGTGGTGCTGCTGGATTACTCATCTCCATGCATAACAGACAATGAAGCACAACGGATGAGTTGGGGACGGTACCCTCATTCCTTTGCCTTTGCTTCTGGTGTCTTGCTCGCCACCATGGAACTCAACGGCCACGCGACAGATCTCTGTAGATCCCCGTGCTCCGCACCAGAGACCAGATGGTCAATCACCGCGATCAAGGTGTAAGCGCCCACCCCAGTGAAGATATGCCACCTAGACACCACCATCAGTCGCGATTACGAGCAACAAGCCTCACCACCGGTGACTCACAGTCATCGTCATAGCGGAGGAATAGAAAGTCAGGGAAAGTCACTCACCACCCATGCAACTCCAGCCCGAACGCCCACGGCACCCCCACCGCCGCCCGCCACCTCCGCAAAACCTGGCACCCCCACCCATCCACCAGCCAGACGGCATACCCCACGTTGAATATCACTACCCCAGCTGCCATCAGCAGACTCGTTACCCAGTCAATGGCAAGAACAAAGCTTACTCACCAGCCCCAAACCGCACTAACCGCCACAGCTCCGTCCTGGCCACCGACCCCCGGACCGTCCGCTGCTGGATCAGCTGCATCGTCCGCACCCCAATAACCGTGACACTGTCCACAAAGCTCACCGAATGGAGGACCAGCTCGTCCGTCGCGATATGCACGGCCGCGAGGCCCAGCAGCGCGGCCCCCAGCGCCAGCGCCACGCGCGAGGCGGTCTGTGCGCTGGTGTTGACGGTCAGCACGCGGTGGAGCAGCGGGCTCGTGGTCAGGAGCATGAACAGGTCGTCCACTGTTTTGTCCCAGGTGGGGTGGTTAGTTCCTTGCCGCAAAAGTGCAAACTGTAAACCGAGGAGGAATGGGGAGCCGCCTCCATCTGCGTGTGATACTTCAGGCTCATGTGGAACCCCGCGGAGCAGACGCCGATGAGGCCGTAGTATGGGATGCGGCGCGAGAAGGATGGGGTAGGATGGTGGGGAAGATGGCGGAGGCCGTGGAGGGCGTAGAGGACTGGACGGGAATTAGGTTTTGCCATTGCCGTTTGGGGAGAGTCTCGCGAGGGTGTGGGGTGTGGGGTTTACTGTAGGTGATGTTGGTTAGGGTGTTGATGAGTTCGGCGATGTAGCGGGTGATGGTGTAATCCTGGTTGATAGGGTAAGTGAAGGTGGTAGGATTGATTGGTGTTTGTGGTGGTGGGTATTGTACCTCTTCGCAGAAACTGGATGGAGTTGTTAGTTTGGCACTGGGAGGATGAGTTGGGTCGAGCCTTACTTTGCATGGGACGTTGGCGGGCCCCAGAAGGGGTTTATTGAGGTTGGAGAATTCATTGTAATGGATAGGTGTGCCTGGGTGGTGGTGGTTGCGAGTGTTGTTGTCTGGTGCTGGAATGTTGTGGGCCACAGAGAGCTTTATTGCGATTGGAAGCTAGGCATCAGTGAAAGCTTTGACCGAAAGCGGTAATCAGCTCTTTGTTCCAGTTGTTGGTAACCTTGTTAGTGTGAGCAGGATTTGTGAACTCTGTCATAAACCCTGCCATCGTCTTACGTGAGAGTTTCGGGAAAGGGGGAACCTTGGTCAGGATAATGATGCCTGGAATCTCACGGACAACCTCTCTCAGCGGCGCCAAAGGAAGAAAGAAAAAGAGGATTGAGAGAATGACTTTCCCACAGTAGGGCATTGAACATCCATACTTCCAGGTAGCATAATCTCAACAGTGACATACTAGTGTAAGTAAGAAACTGAACATTTCCAGAAACATATCGTACGACCAGCAAAAGCGGGGTACAAACCCGTCAACCCCACCAAGCCCAACCCCAAACCAACAGTCAAACGCGAACGTGCCCACCCACTCAACCATCCCCTGCGTATCAAGACAATATGCCACCCACCAAAACAATCTGCATCATCGGCATCACCGGCAACCAAGGCGCCTCCGTCGCCCGCCGCTTCCTGCAGGACCCAACCTTCCACGTCCGGGGCCTCACCCGCAACCCGCACAGCCCAACCGCCGCGGCCCTCGCCCAGCAGGGCGTGGAGCTCATCCCCGCCGACCTCAACGACCCCGCCAGTCTCCTCCCAGCCTTCCGCGGCGCAAACATCATCTTCAGCGTCACCAACTACTGGGAGGCCTTCGCCAGCCCGGCGGGCCGTCAGCAGGCCGCCGCCGCCGGCATCTCGCCTCGCGAGCACGCCTACCGTGTTGAGCGCCAGCAGGGGCAGAACATCGCCGATGCGGCGGCGCAGACGGTTGACTCGCTCGATCCGAACGGGTTTCTCGTCTCCACGCTGAGCCATGCGACGCGATGCAGCGGCGGCCGGTTCCGGGAACTGTATCATTTCGATGCCAAGGCGGAGGTGTTTCCTGATTATGTCCGGGAGAGATATCCCGCGCTGGCGGCGAAGATGTCGTGCGTGCAGACGGGGTACTTTACCTCGAGTTATAGGTTGGTTCCGGGGGCGTATTTTGGGAAGGTATGTTGCTCTCCGGGGCAAGGCTGGGTGTTGCGTTGTGTTGGGGCGTGAGGAGGGGAGAGGTGGCTGACTCGGGTGTTTAGGCAAGGCGGAGAGCGGGGAGGATGTGTTTGAGATGACCTTCACCACGGCCCTGGAGGCGGTGGTGCCCCACCTCGATGTGCAGAGTGACTTAGGTGGGTTTGTCTATGCGGTTGCTCAGATGCCGCCGGGGAAGAGTTACATGGCGTGTGGGACCAGGTGCAGTTGGGCGGAGTATATGAGGATTTGGGGCGAGGTGAACGCGGTGGCGGCGCGGTATCGGCAGATCACGCTCGAGGAGCTCATCGACAAAGCGCCCGAGCCGGAGTTTGGTCGCGAGGTGGGGGATATGTTCTCCTATTCGACGGATCCGGGATATGATGGGGGTGACGGGAGCTTGTTGATGGCGGAGGATATACGAAGGGTGAGATTTGTTGTCTGTCCGTGGATGTGTGGAATGGATGCTGACTTCTTTTAGACAGGTATTGATTGTCCCATGACAAGCTTGCAGGAATGGATCAGGAAGGAAGATTGGTCGACTATTTTGGGTTGAGTATGTTGAGCTATTCTTCAGCGTGCGATTGATCTGGCAAGCATCTGAATCATATACAGGGAGACTCTTTGTGTTATGGGAAAGAAAAGACTGTTTACTGAGACTGACAGGTGAACATTCACCTGCAAACAATGCGCAGGGACGAATGGAGCCAAGAATGGGGTTATAATTGGGATGGGGCTGTGAACGCAGGTTAGCTACATTGGTGCCATAATTTGCAGGACTTTCCACAAGGTTCCACCGAGTCATGTTGCTAAAATTAATGGATGAGATAGATTGCGTGAGTTGTGTATAGTTCCCCGTATTGGATTATATGTGCTGCGGTGGATGCTGCAAGTGCAAGATGTAAGAAACTGACCCACCGGAGATCTTCGATGACCAACCTTCTTTTTTTTTATCTTATCGTTGGCTCCCTCATTTCACTGCTTATTTCACATCTGGTAACTACTTGCTATCATAGCAAAGTCATACCTTGGAACAAACAGTGAACTATGGCAGCTCTGCTCAGAGTTCGCAATCTCATCCTACTCTTTCTTGTTATCTGCCTCATCCACATCACCCGCCGCAAGTGGCAGCAACATTGCATTTCAAGGCAACATGGCTGCCAACCAACAATCCACCTCCCAGCGCGAGACCCCATCTTTGGCCTCGATCACCTCGCCTTCACCCTCCGCGCAATCAAATCTCACACGGTCCTTGTCCGAAGCGAACAGCGGTTCGCGAAATACGGTCACACACACCAATCACGCCGCCTGTTCACCACCATCCTCGCAACCTGTGAACCCGCGCAACATCAAAGCCATCCTCTCGACCAACGTCTACGACTACAGCCTGAACCGCCTCGCCGCGTACGGACCCCTCCTGGGGACGGGGATCTTCATAACGGACGGGCCGGCGTGGTCACAGTCGCGCGCGCTGCCGCGCCCCACCTTCGCCAAGTCCCAGATCGCAGATCTCGCGACCTTCGAGGCCCTGATCACCGAGCTCTTGGTGCTACTCCCCACCGACGGCCGGCCCATCGACCTCCAAGAGCTGTTCTTCGGGTATGCCATCGACTCAGCCACCGCGTTCCTGCTCGGGCGCTGCAGCCACACCCTCCGCAGACTTGGTTTTCCGGCCGCTGCAGCCGCCAGTCACCACGACGTAGATTTCGCAAGCGCCTTCGAGGACGCCCAGGCGGCGATCCGGACCCGGGAGCGGTGGGGGGTGTTGCGCATGTCCCACCGGGATAAGCACGCCGACGAGTGTTTCCAGATCTGCCACGGGTTTGTGGAGAAGGCGATCGACGATGCTCTGGGCAGCGTCCGAGTCCCTAGGGCTAGCACAACCCCCACGGCATGTGGAAAAGAAACAGGACACAACCACCATTCATCGACACATTGCTCGAGCAAACGAGCAACCGCACCCTTCTCCGCGACGAGTTGATGAACCTCCTCCCCGTGGGCCGCGACACCACCGCCAGCCTGCTAAGCAACCTCTTCTCCATGCTGGCGCGCCACCCCGACACTGTCGTCGCGGGATGGGGTGTGGGTTGGTTTGAGGGAGTGAGGTTGTGGTTTTTGGTTTGGTCTGGTTCTCTGGTGAGATAGAGATCGGGTTGATGTATAAATAAGGCTTTTATGTTTTGAGAAGGAGGCAGGACTGGATCCGACGTCTACCTGTTCGGAGGGAGGGTTTGCCTGTGTAACTCACAAAGACCTATCTCACCGTGTGCATGTGGTTGGGTGTAACCATTGATCGTTGATCCGACGGGCTGTACGACCCGTACTTCATACTGTTGTGTTGCGGCCCTCTGGGCTCTCCTGAGGTTACGAAGGGCTGGGGTAGAGGCATATCAATATCCCAGCATTGACGAGGATGGACTCACGTTTACAGTAGACACAAAATAATCAAAACCTTTCCAAATCACAACTTCCGATGTTGACTCGTACAATCTATGCTAATGCAGTGAACAATGCTATGCTATGTGCCACCCTTTCGCCAAACCCCCGGAACGCCAGCTACAAGAACATCACTCCTGCCCCGCCGCCAGAAGCAAATTCATCACCCCCTCGTGCCCATGCACCACCGCCTGGAACAGCGGACTGATGCCATTATCATTCAACGAATCGACATTGACCTGCCCCGTCTCCAGCAACAGCCTCACGACCGCCGCATGGCCCTTCCTTGCCGCCAACGACAGCGGGGTACAGCCCTCGTTATCGCGCACATCGACCTCCACCCCCTGGACCTTGAGCAACATGCGCACCGCGCCCTCCGCGCCCGTCTCCGCCGCCCACGACAACGGCGTGCGGCCCTTATCATCCCTCGAATTGACGTCCACCCGCTTTGTCTTCAGCAGCAAGCGCACCGTCGCATCGAACAGCGTCGCCGCCGCCCGCGACAACGGCGTCTGCCCATTCTCCCCGCCCTTGGCATCCACCTCCGCGCGCCCATCATCGATCAGCACCTTCATGACGCGATGGAACCCGAACGCCGCCGCATACCGGATGGCCGTATTCCCCGAGGGATCGGTGGCGTTGACCTCGATGCCCTCCTGCGCCAGCAGCACCTTGACGGCCTTGACGTTGTTCATGAACGCGGCGTGCAGCAGCGGCGTGAGCAGGTGGCCCGTGTTGACGTCGACGAGGCCGGACTCCAGCAGCACGCGCAGCACGTTCGAGTGCCGGTAGGTGATGGCCAGGATCAGGGGCGTGTTGCCGTCCGCGTTGGGCCGGTTGGCGTCGATGTCGCGCGCTTGCAGCAGGAGCCGCGCGACCTCGGCGCGGCCCCGCATCGCCGCGATGCAGAGGGGTGTCGGGGCCTTCTTGTCTTGGATGTTGACGTCGGCGCCGGCGTGGATGCTGTGCTGCGCGGTGCCGGCCACCCCGCGGCGGGCGGCCCAGACTAGGGCGGAGGATTTGTGGTGCCGCGCGTTCTGGCGGTACAGGTAGGGGTTCACGATGCTGTGCAGGCGTCGGCTGACTTTGGACAGGGCGTTGATGTCCTTGCGCTGGGCGAGGTGGTTGGCGACCATTAGGATCAGCTCGGGGGGTAGATCGAGGGGTGGCATTGCGTTGAGAGTATAGCTTGGACCGGATACGGAGCGCTCAAGGATGAAGGAATCGGAGTTGAGCGACTGGTAAGATGGTGATGGGTAGATGATTGGTGGGTGATGGTAGTGCTGGAGGTGAGGTTCATACCCCCAGAAGTAATTTATACTGGCCCTCTGGGTGTCGGTTTCCATTTTTTTCGCTGGTGTGTTTGTGTTAAGATTCACTGGGAACGATGCGATCCCTCGGTACTAGTAGTGACGATGCGATTTTGAGAAACTAGTCTGCCTAGTAGGGCCAGTCGTCCCAGGCTGTCTGTTCTCTTTCTACCCCCATAGTTTGAGCAGTGACTAAGCATGAGAATGATAAGTGAAGGGGGGGGGCACTGCAAGGTTCACTCCCAACTTGGAAGCAAATGCACGCCGACCTCACTTGGGCCTAACACAGCATCACCGCTTCGATTCGGGCCAGAACTGGCTGTGATTGGCTGCAATGCAGGCAAATGTCGGTATGGGGCCTTTTCTCCACGCGGCTTGGCGGCCGACAGTCCCAGACAAACGCCGTGAGCGCCATTTCACCAGTGCGCCGCTAATCACCAGAGCAGGAAACACATGCCGACAGCTCCATCAGGGCCCACTTGAGTAGTTGCGTGGGACTGGAAAGAGACATTGTACAGTACCCTTGTGTGGCGAGTTCACCATCCGATGTCAACCATCAGATCTGCATACTGTGGATGTTGTCCGTGTGTTCATTGCCCTCTTGTCTTAATTTTAGCGTATAATCTCCTCAAACCGCATCGGGTAGCAACGGATCCTGCCAGCAGATGACGAGTTTAACCGTTGCGGTCAGATCCTTCAGAGTGGTGAGGGCATGGGGAGATTATGCCAGTCATCCTGCGCGAGAGTTTGTCGCTCGTCCCTGATAGGGCCTGCTGCATGAATACCCTACCCTTAGTTGCGCCAACTATTCGCCATCCTCATTGCCCCCAGGAAGTACCGATGAACTTGGCTTCTGACAAGTCTTGGGTCTTGATCCAGAATTAAACTGCTTATTGTGGTGTTCGTGCCACAGATTATCACAAGCATTCAACTAAAGTTGAAACTGCTGTGTGTGGTCCAATAGTTTTGCTATAATGGCAAGGCAGTATTGCATCTCACACAAGAGTCCTCAAAACGAGATAATGTGGACAATAACCATAGACTTCTGCAACCTCTTGCATCAGCAGAACCGATCCAGACCGCGACCCTTTCCGTCCAGAGGCAAATCAGAAATCAACACATATCCCCAATGCACCAACAACAGTCCCCACAATCCTTCAAGCTTCTCAATCTTGCTTCCATCCATGAACATCAGCAAGTATCCCCAGCGCACGCTACTCCCCGCACACCACCAGAAGCATCCGTCGCGCCCAACCCCTCCTTATACGCAATCAACGCCTCCAGGAACTCCGAAACCTCCTGCCCCCCGCTCAGCGTGCGCATCGGCTCCCCCTTTCCGAACTCAAAATACGGTACCCCAACGACTCCCTCCTCCCTTGCCCTCTGCGCCTCCTGCTGAATCTCCGCCACCCCGCGCCCCTCCTCCAACCACGCGCGGACCACTCTTTCATCCATCCCCGCCTGCCCGGCCAATCGAACCAACGTCTCCACATCCGTGATATCCTGCTCCCGCTCGAAATGCGCCTCGAAGATCGCCTCCACGAGCCCCGCCGTCCCGGCACCGGCAGAGGAACCCGACCCGGCCACGGCGGTATTCGGCGCACGAGATGTGTCCCGCAGCGCGTTGAGCATGATCACCTGGTGGGCGGGGATGGTGCTTCCGATGCGCCCGCCGAAGCGGAAGTGGATCCCGTCGGCGCGGCCCAGGCGTTGGAGGTGGGCTTGCGCGTGAGGGACTTTCTCCGGGCCGAGCTTTTGGGTCATTCGCTCTGAGCGGTCGGTCAGTATGCAGTTGTTGGTGTGGAAGAGCAATAGGGGGCTGGGGATAGTGTACCCATGTAGGGAACGCTCTCCATCGGGGCGTTGGCGTCCAGAATGTACGGTTTCCAGGTGATGCGGATGGCGTCTTGACTCCCGCCGGGGTAGGTCTTCTGGTAGAGGCGGATGGCCTTGGTGAGGCGGCGGTAGCCGATGTAGCACTTGCGGTTCGTGAGTTGGCTGGGTTTTACTCGCAGGGGAGGGGTGCTGGGAACGTACCCACGGGCAGACTGGGTCTGATGTGATGGCTATGTCGATGGATGTCATTCTGTTTGAAGGGTTGACGGATACAGGGTTGGTTTTGATGTCTCGCAGGACAGCCTCAGCGGCTGGTAACTGTGCCTGGTAAGAGTCAGAGCCCTTGCTGCTATGCCTTCTGTCGGTGAGCATGGTCGTTCTACGGCACGCACTTTATAGCTGCGGGCTAAGTCACTTCCGACCATAGTTTATCTAGGAGCCTGGGATCCAGGCAACCATGATTCCGGAGAAGAGTCCTGATCTACCCGGACAGACCATTCTTTTCTTTGGAAAGAAGCGAACTCTGAGAATCTCACTTCAAATCATCCCCCTTAAATGAATGTGGTTTGATGGGCTTACCAATCAGCACTGAAAATAGTCAACGAGTCAAGCTAGCCAGTTGGTGGTCCCTCCGGGGCTATGCGGGGTATCGATACACCAAGTCTGCATGTGCTCACGTTCCTCAAAGATGTTAGAATAATAATGTTAAGTACTACACTAGATGTCAATATACATCAAGGAGTAACAGATTGCTGTGGACTTGTGGGGTCAAAGTATAATAACAGCTTGCGCGAATGGTAACTTTAGGGTCCGCGCTACCATACTGCACAGCCACGTGGAACAGAATTGACCGACTTTGACTTGACACAACCTATGAGCTCTAGGTTAAAAGTTCAACCAATACCTCTGTTTGATGAATCGTGTTGAAGGTATAATTCCTATCTTGGGTGATGAGGTTGAAATATTTATCTCAAAATCGACCATCTCTCCATGCCCTGTAGTCGAGGTCATGTTGGTCACAGTTACAGTCTTCGAAATCTTTGCGCCGCTAAGCCAAAGTGAGAGCATATTTTGTCTTAATGTGAGGTTAGTTCCCAGTCTTGTCAAAGATACCACACCGTTTGTGATTGTGGCATTGAGACTGTAGTGAATAAAAGCTGTCTCTAGCATTGGACTATGCATGATTCACAGTTCAACATGTTCTATGCTTAGCAAGGGTAGGGCTCGACGCTTCCTTTCGTGTACCCTAAATTCCCAATGCACCTTCCCTTGACGGGTCCTGCCTCCTTTCGACTTGCAAGCTGCACGCAGGGAGCCATGTCAAATTGCATGGTACAATAAGTCGATGATAAACTGTCCACCGTTGTACACATCGTGCGCCTATGGGAGTACGGCCTGCGACCACATTATTGGGACAGTGCCATAGCAAACATGTGTGCTTATAGACCTGTCTCATCGGAGCAAATGATCAACAATCCTTGCTATGCTCCCCATTTACCGATTCTGCCCGTTCAGCAGGAGAAGTACTCGAGGCGCATCCTGACAACGTATCTCACGAGTACAAAGGGCGAAGGTCAATGATGTTCCCAAACTGCTGACAGCACGAAGGTTGCTCCCACCATACTATCCGAGCAGTGTAACCTGAGCTGGGACTCCCGCCGCTCTCTGTTGGACGTCTCCCTGGCCAAGTGTTGCACAATACCACGCTGGTCGCATTGCGCAACCAGCTAAACAGCACCAGTCCACCCAAACTGGCACTGGCGATGGGTTGATTGGCAACTGCGATGGAGGGTACCATAAAAGTCATCCCAGGCCCCGGGACAGGCGAGCTGAATTCAGCTCTTCAGCAACTCA